AAAAAGCCAATGTTCTCACATAAAAAGTGAACGCACTGCCCCAAAATGGCGTCCAAAGATGGCGGATTGACGACTTTGACTTTAGTTAGTTTTGTTGGTCACTGAGAATCAGCACTTGGCTTAATTTCCTCATGGTTGGTCTTTTATTAAAGCTGAATAGTCAGAGAATAAGGAAACATGAACAAATATTAAAAAACAATTGGCTTACGCAATAAAAAACAACAGTAAAATCGAAAATGTTAACAAAAAAATTTTCAAGTTCAAAATAAAGCGTCGTTTGTAATTAAACGGCCAACAATAACGCAAAATGTGCTGAAATAAAACATCTGGAGAATATATTTGCCTTTCTTAAACACTGATTACTTTTTAAAATATTTGAAGCAGTTCCGTAGAAAATGCACTTGTGCGGCAGAAAAGCGGTACTGGCGTGGGTGCCTACAGGCCTCTACCACACCATTCAGGACACATAAATGGCTTAATTATAGTGATATAATAACATTTTTCGTACATTATATTGGTTTTATTAACGAACAAATATTAATGAAATCATTTGATTGCAAAAAAATTAAACAAATTTTTTTTAAATTTATTGTTTTATTTTATTTTTTTATTTAACTTCCTTTATTCTATACGGAAGTCGTTTAAGTTGACATCTATTGTAAAAATGATATAATTATAATAATAAAAGTTAATTAAAAAATACTTTGCTGAATATCTTGAATTTTTATTTAACGTTTGCAATTTAACACTTTGTTTTGTATATTTAATGATTCTTACCTGTTTTATAAACTAAAATAATATATGCATATTCTGAACTACATATAATGAATAGTTGCCGGGTTGTTTATTAAAACTCATATATCACTGATAAAAAATAATTTTTATTTCCTTTATTTTGTACGGAAGTTGGACTAGGAAATTTTAATATTGAATGCAAAATTATCTCTACACAAAGAAGCATGGAAAGAGCGAAACTATAAGTTCTTCTAGTAATCGGAGCTGATTGTTAGTATTTGGTCTCAAAATGAGGGAAAAGGCGAAATTGAACCCAAAAGTTGGAAAATACATTATGCCAACGAGAAAGGAAGTGCCAAAATCTCGGAAAAGAAAACAAGGAACAGTATTCATTATATAGCTAAACGAATATATAGTAGATAGATGAACAAAATATTTAAAGATGCTGTTAAATTGGAGTCAAATGCTGTAGAAGTTCGGAAGATCTTAAGGGGACGGTGCAGATTTATGATGGATTTTATCAGCAAGAAAGATTCTTCGAAGCAATTGGCAAGTCAGCTGGTCTGGACAAAGTAAACCGAATTTCTGCACGTACATGTACATGGCAACAAATGTATTAGAAAATGATATGAAAGGACTCTAGTTTTGTACCTTTGCAAGAAATGAGATACAAGGAAATGTAATACCTATCGAGTTCATTCTTGTTTAGTGAACCAAAGAAACTCTTCTCAAGAATCGTTGAAGCTAAAATAAGAAATATTTTCGATTGCCAGAGCGAAATAGTTAAGAGATTCAAGTTACACATTGGAAGAGAAATTGCAAATTGGGACTGTCTTCACTTTAAGGCAGGTTACAGAGTAGTCCATCTAAAAAGAATCTGCTTAGTGCATCGCACTTTGAATTGTCCTAATTTCTAATTATCTTTCAGAAAAAGCTGGTTTTTCTTTTAGATTCCTTAAAAAATCTTTTGCTAATACACTAAACAGAAGGAGAGCTATTTCCCTTTCTCGATAGACCTCTCTATAACCTGCTTCAAAAAGAAGATAGTCCCAAAGTGCAACTTCAGTAGCAATCGAAAATAAAGTGGTGTTCAGCATAATAAACCTCCATCGTCCACTTAATATCATACCAAACTTCCAAACTGCATTTGACCCCCTTTTAGCAGCATCTTGAAATATTCTGTTCATCTATTTACTATACATTCGTTTAGCTATATAATGAATATTGGTCCTTTTTTTCATTTCCGAGATTTTGGCACTTAATTTCACATTTGCTTAATGTATTTTTCCAATTTTTGGATTAAATTTCGCCTTTTCCCTCATTTTGAGGCCAAATCCAAACAATTAGTTCCGGTTACTAGAAGAACTTATAGTTTCGCTCTTTCCATCTTTCTTTGTGTAGAGAGAATAATGCATTCACTATTAAAATTTCCTATTTATTTATGTTATGGTCCAACTTTCATACAAAATAAAGATACTTATTTTTTTATTAGTGACATATGAGTTTTAATAAACAATCCGGCAACTATTCATTATATGTAGTTCAGAATAAGTATATATTATTTTAGTTTATAAAACAGGTAAGAATCATTAAATATATGAAACTAAGTGTTAAATTGCAAACGTTAAATAAAAATTCAAGATATTCAGCAAAGTATTTTTTAATTGATCTTTTATTATTATAATTATATCATTTTTACAATAGATGTCAACTTAAACTACTTCCGTATAGAATAAAGGAAGTTAAATAGAAAATAAAATAAAATAATAAATTTAACAAAAAAGTTTTTAATTTTTTTTTACAATTAAATGATTGCATTAATATTTGTTAGTTAATAAAACCAATATAATGTACCAAAAACTTTGTTTTATCACTATAACTAAGCCATTTATGTGTACAGAATGATGTGGTAGAAGTCTGTAGGAACCCACGCCAGTACCGCTTTTCCCCCGCATAAGTGCATTTTCTACGGAACTACTTCAAAGATTTTAAAAAGTAATCAGTGGATTAGAAAGACAAATATATTCTCCAGATGTTTTATTTTAGCACATTTTGCGTTATTGTTGGCCGTTTAATTACAAAACGGCGCTTCATTTTCAACTTGAAAATGTTTTTGTTAACATTTTTGACTTTACTGGTGTTTTTTATTGCCTAAGCCAATTATTTTTTTGATACTTGTTCATGTTTCCTTATTCTCTGACTATTCAGCTTTAATAAAAGACCAATCATGAGGAAATTAAGCCAAGTGCTGATTCTCAGTGACCAAAAAACTAACTAAAGTCAAAGTCGTCAATTCGCCATCTTTGGACTTCATTTTGGGGCAGTGCGTTCACTAATTTTTTGTGGGGAACATTGGCTTTTTTTTAATAAATAGTTACAAGGAACACAACGATATGCGATTTATAGGGATGTGGTGAGGGGGGGGGGAGTGCACGGTAGGGGGGTCTGGCCCACCGTGTACTTCTTTTTGGTATAGCTTTCTGACTAAATTTGTTAGATAATTACCAAAAGCTCAAGTTACCGCTGCTGATTTTTGTATTCATCATTAGCTGAGGGTTCAAAGAACATTTTGATTACAGTAAGGCCTTCGCGGTCGTTGGCGCAAGGTACTTTGCAATGGAAAAAAGAAAATTCCAGAATCCGTTGAGTAATAACTTATTCTATCAAAATACGAAATGTTTGAATTTATTAAGAAGTAATTTACTTAATGACTCATTTGATTCATTTCAACAAAAAGTATTTTGAGAATCCAAAAAAAAAAAGCTTTATTTTAGGCGTTATAAATTATAACTTGTTTTAAATCATTAAATATATTTTTATTTAATAATTCATAACAAGTTGCATTATTAATGTGGTAGAAACTGACTTTTTATTTATATTATCATGCATAAATTTTAGGAATATATGAGTTAACAATGTCAGTCATAAAAAACATAGAAATTTGAATAGTCATAACACCTTGAAAATAGGTTGTTTTTTTGGCCGATCTCAGACCAGTGTGCGGCGTCGCTTTAAAATAAAGTTTTGAATAATAGCTGATTACAAAGAGGATGAAATACTAAACATTTCCCTCACTTTCAGTACACATGTCCGATTTCTAGTTTCTAAGATATTCTAATCCAAATAAAAAACGCTTCAAATTATTTCACAATGGTTTATTATTCCCTCGTAACTTTTTCTTCCAACGTCTTTTCGTTGAAGTATATTATATAGATAAATTTCAGCAGTGTCGAGAAAATGAGTTTCATTGAAATCGGTACATTCGTTTAGGCGCTACAGTCTATAGCAACGCAGGTTTTTCGGCCGCCATTTTGAGAGAAAAAGGCGGATAGTAATGTCGATGAAGGAGGATCATCCTCGGGTGAGCTCTGATTTTATATCTAAATTTGAAAAAAAATCGGTTCAGTATTTTTGGAGATAATGCGCGGACGGTGGAGGGACAAAAACATTTTTATTTACTTTTCGAATTCTACGTACCCTGAAAAGCAAAACCTCAAATTTTGAGAGGAGGTTAAGTTTTTGAATTTTTTGGTCGATCACAATGGTGCATTATTGAAAATAATACATCAAAACACTTCAATTAGTCGACTCGAGGCACTAGCGGATCCAGGATTTATTTTTTGGGGGAGGGGCTTCAGCCCAAAAGATTTTTTTTTTTTTATATACATATAACGATAATTAATTTGAAAAAATATAAAGAAATTAATTACCTATTTGAAATGGTGTTTACGTGGTTCTTGAAGTCCTATTAAATATGGTTGCACGAACAAGAATACTTTAATAGATAGTTTTTAATATCTTTTTCCGTTAAACATAGTTATATTTTACCATTTTGGGAGGGGGGCTTCAGCCCGAAAGCCCTCTCCCCTCTCCCCCCCACCCTGGGCCCGTAGATCCGCCTGTGATTCGAGCCGATTTTGCTCGAATGAGCGTTAAGTATCTGAGCCTAAAGGCTTAAACTCATTCACTCTCCATAAAATAAAATGAAAAGCCCACCTAAAGAAGTTTTCACTTCGAAAAATCTGAGATGGTGAAATTCAGAGCTTGTGTTGATTTGACGTATTGTTAAAATTTGCCGTACCTTCGCTGCTGCGAGGTTCGATCTGTAATAAATACCTACTTACTATGACAGGATAATACCCGTGATAATTGCTGAGCAGAGAAGAGAAGAATTTAATATTATTCAAAGAGGCATATATGAGCCGTGCCATAGATTTAAAATATTATAATTGTTGCCTGTCGCTACTATCATTCCTTCAAAGTATCTTTCACTCCCCCCTCCCACCACTCTACTGCCTGGTCGTGTCTATATAAATTGCCGCTGACATTCAGATTTTCCGCAGAGTATGTTAGCTGACAGTTATTAATAGATTATAGATATGTTAATTTTGTACGGTTTGTTATTTTTATCGACGTCAGTCATTTCAATACCTGCCGAAAACACTACGCCACAGGTGAGTTTCTCAAGTTGTCTATAAAATCCAAGGGCTGAAATAGATAATTATTTTCTTATTTTAGGAAGCCTACGTTTATATTTTTTTTTCATATTTAAGGCAATAATACTTCCAATTTCCTTTAAATCTGTTTAATCACATTTATTATCTCCAACGTTTCGGAACAATTTTCCCATCATCAGAGCAAATTGCTTTTTTGATGTGGCACCATTTGTCGAAAATTCAAATATTTGTCACAGTCATTTTCTGAAATGAGTCAGATGTTACAGCAACTTTTTCCTTAAAATCGGCTAACCGAAAGTCTCACTTTATATGAACGGTGAAACATATTATTACAATTTTCTCAAAAACGGCTCTAACGATTTTGATTTAACTCGGTGTATCATGGTATAATTAAGTGGTTATAATTATCATTTATGTCTTATCTTTTTTGATGTCCCTTTACAGGGCTTAAATGCCCAATGTTCATATACGTCTTCCTCTAAAGTACCTTTAATATGGTTTATTTTAAATAATTAACTATCTCTCATTATTAAGAGTTACGAAATAATGGTAAATATCACTTTTGAAAGAATTTGATAATTGAATAAAGGAGAAAAATGCTTATCCAGGTCGAAAATGAATATCCGGAAATACTAGCCAGAAGGTATACATATAATAAATCGTTGGAAAGCAAAGAATTTAAAAAAACAAAACAATATCTAATATAGAAAGTTGTAGGAGGTAACGGAGAGTGGCGAACAAATTATAAATAATAATTTTTGAAAACTAATATTATTTAACGTTATTCACATGTTTTTAAGTAAATCAATTGAAATTTACTAACTAAATGTAAACTTTTAAAATATTTTTTAAGTTTGAAAAAGTATTTAAAATCCACATATTCAAGGCAATGACACTGTTTAAGATACTATTTCTTTGTACTTGTGTGAAAGAAAAAATGAAATATTTCACGGATATGTTTATAACCTTAAATATATTTACTGTACTTTGTTAGGGTTTTCGAATAACTCTGGATTTGATATATTTAAATAATTAGGTATCTATCGTCCGTTTATTCCGAAAAATCATCATTTAACCTTTTAGAAAATTAAATTAGTAAATAATTTGATGAATTTTTCTTTTGTGATATTCATACAGTATACACTTACAATTAATGTGATTTTTGACCTCTCCATGACATACAATGCAAATCTCTTAATTCCATTTTAGTAAACTTTGCTATTGAAAATAACAGTTTAATAACTAATAGTCGTACAATCCATAATCAACCGGTGATATAATAAAAAGGACTTTTGTTGTTTTAACGGTATTTATGATTTGTTAGATGTAAGCTTTTAGCTTTAGCGAGATTAAAAATTTTTATAATAGCCAAACATGGCCAAAAATAATTTCTATTTAAAGTTGAGCGGTAAGTGACAGTTGCGTGTTGCGCGCACTAGATTTTTCTAATTATACTTATTCGCTTTGAACGTTTTTAAGAACAGAAGAATAATAAAATTTCTTGGAGGGATGGGGTATGCTCACAGGCGGATCTACAGGGGGAGGGGGGACTTTCTGGCTGAAGCCTCCCCCCAAAATGGTAAAATATAACCATGTTTTACAGAAAAAAATATTAAAAACTATCTCTTAAAGTATTCTTGTCCCTTTAATTATCTTTAGTAGGACTTCAAGAACCACTTAAACACCATTTCATATAGTTAGTTAATTTATTTCTTTTTTTTTCAAATTATTTTTATGAAGATTTATGAAAAAAAAATCTTTCGGGCTGAAGCCTCCCCCAAAATTAAATCCTGGATCCGCTAGTGGGCATGCTTCATTGTCCATGGAGGAGGAGATGGTCACCCTTAGTACCTTTTATTAATAGATATAAAGTACATATAAGATATAAAGTAAATAGATATAATTAATCCTATGAACCATTATGTTTTATCTATTTATATTTTATTTTTTAATTCAGGTGTCATTGACATTGTATTATGAAACTTTATGCCCTTTTTGCCAAAATTTTTTCTCAAATGAACTAGCTCCAACATTCCTCGATAAGGATTATGGCCCACTCTTCAAGTACCTTAACTTGGTACCGTTTGGAGTCGCTGAAGTAGTAAGTATATCGAAATAGGTGGAAAATCAGAATTTAGCATTTAAGAGGGTAAGAGAGTAATAGATTAAGTTTAAGTCTAAATTAATTCGAATTTCAGATGAATTCCACAGCTCACAAGATTGTCTGCCAACATGACGAAGTCGAGTGCCAAGGGAACAGATTCCACTCCTGCGCCATCAAACACATTAAAGATAAAAAAGCCCTTGTGAATTACATTAGCTGTCTGATGGATTCGGTTGAGGTGGATTCTGAGGAGGATGAAGAGTATCCTGTGGACAAGGTAAGAGCGATAGATAGATTTAGACTTCACGGAATCCCGATGGCAAAAGATTTTAATTCTATCTTAATCCCTAACCTTTTCACCTAGACGGAAAAAATCTCGCATAGTCCGAGAGCTCGTGAGAAAAAAATATACATTTTAAAAAAATATTTATAAGATAAATATTTAAAAAAAAAAGTCTGCCAGTCGGGCCTTGTTTGCTACCTCTAAAAATGGCCTCCAAGGGAGAACTTTTTACAGCAAAAAAAGCCAGATTTTTTCTTTTTTTTTGTTTTTTCACATATTACTTCTAAACGGTGCATAAAAGCGAAAAATTTACCCTTACCTCAAATTGCGCGTCGAACGAGTACCGAAACTCAATAATTTCATCAAGTGGTATGATCGATAACCATAGTCAACCAACGCCTTATTTTTACCAAATTCATCAAAAACTGATACAACTTACTATAAATGTCGCTGGAGTTTGCAAAAGAGTTCTCTAAGAGAAATAACTCATAGAATAAAAGTTGTAGAGCATCAAATTCCGCGTCCACTGAGTACTAACAGTTTTAATGTAGGTATATTGTATCTCCCGAATCGCTTTCGAGAATTCGTTATTTCTTCATGAAATTTGGATTTTTTTTTTAAACCTGCTGAGAAGTAGAAAAGAGTATAACAACAATAACTCAGTGGAATAGACACCCATAAAGTGAAAATATTTAAAATTACACATATCTTCATTACCAATTTCCAGCCATCGCTAATCACTACCGATTTCGAGTCGATTAAGCAACCTACATTAGAACTGTTGGTAATCAGTAAACGCAGAATACTTCTACAGCTTTTATTCTATGAGTTTTTTCACTTAGAGAACTCTTCTGCAAGCTGTATCGCATTTATAGTAATTTGTACCAGTTTTTGATGAATTTGGTAAAAATCAGCGTTGGTTACCGACCATACGACTTAACCAAATTGTTAAGTTTAAGTACACGTTCGAAGCACAATTTAACGTATTTAACGTAGTCACAATCTTTAATTTCTTATAGGGTACGGTTTTTAGCTTTGATGCACTGTTTAGGAGAAATAGGTGGAAAAACAAACAAAGGTCGAAAAAATTTGGCTTTTTTGGCTGTGAAAAGTTTTCTCTTGGTGGCCCGCGTAAGCAATTTGATTTTTTACATGTCTTAACCAATAAATATAAGTTAAAAAAATAGAAAATTTTCACACATTTTTCGTAATGATTTTTCCGTTTCGACGCTCAAGTTACAGGTCTAATATTCTTTAAATCCGTCGGCATTTTTACAGGTAGCAAGATCCGACTAGCAGACTCTCATTTTTTTAATATAATGTCATAAATATTTTTAAAAAATGCGTTTAGAATTTTCGTGATATAATGTCGATTTTTTTCTCTAGAGTTCTCAGACAAGCATAGACGAAAAGGTCAGGAAGAGGAAAACAAAATCTTTTATAGTATGAGAAAATATTAAGAATTCATTTCTTCGTCATAAAAAGTATACATTCATTCATAAGTAAAAAAGGCATTTTAATTAAAACATTTTCCTTTGACTTAGTGCCTAGATAAAGTTCCTGATGGGCTCTTCCCAAAGATCATGAAATGCTACAACTCTGAAGAGGGGTGGAAATTGTTGGAAGAATATGGAAAAATGACTAAAAAATTCTTCAATGACGGAGAAGAGTTCGTGCCTTATGTATCTTTTAATAATGTGAGTATAGATAATTTTACAAAACATCATAATGTAAAAATAAATTTATTAAGGAAGGAGATGGTCCGGGGTGACGGTCATAGATAGGCTGAATAGTGGCAAAACTATTTTATTAAAAGCCAACGTTTCGACCCGACATAGCAGGTCTTCTTCAGGGAGGTGTGTTCAGGGTACTTTTGTGGTTGTATATTCTTGTTTTTATTTCATGAGATGAAGACCAAGAACAAGAACACTATTCTTATCCTTTATGTTTTTAAATAGAGAGAAATAATAAAAGGTATGTTGAATCTAGAATCTATTGATTAGGGCAAAATATGAAACAGGTCATGGATTTATGACTATATTTATTGAACACAACTTTCACATATTATGTACAATCAGGTACATATTATGTACGGTTCAACGGAACGGAACAATGTATAAGGTTACACACATAAACGTGGTCGAGACAGTGTTGGCACAGATCCACAAATAAATTGCCCAACACCCTCTCTATTTCTACTTTTCTTCTAATCTACTTCATTTTAGTTTAAGTTTTTCTACCTACTTTATTTATGCTTCCCATACCTATTGTTATCTGTTTTTTTTTTCTCAGCCCCGATAAAGGCCTGAACTGCGGACCGAAACGTCGGCAAATGTAAAAATAAAGATTATTATTTATTATTGATATTTTTATTTTAACTGATCACCCCAACCATCTTTCTCTTCAGTTAATACTTTTTGTGTTTTTCGGATATCCAATGTTAACATCGTAATTATTTTCCGGCTTCTTTTGGGTGAAATTTATTATAGAGGTAAATTTAAAATTCTTTGAGGAGAAGTCTTAGTCCATTTTTCATTAAAATCGGTTCATCGGTTTAAGCGCATCGTTTTTTTATTATTTATATCCTCGTGGTCTTTAAGAGTTCTAAATCTTGTATGACAATTTTTATAATTATATACGTCACTTATTAAAAAGATATATTATTGACCATTATTTAATATGACTTTTCCCCACTTTTTCACTAGCTGGATAATTCCATGTTCATAGAATGTCTGGAGTTGTTAAAAAACTGATCCAAGTGGTGTTTGATGTCCTCTTCCTTTTGGAATTTCTTTCCATTCATGGAGTTTTGCAGAGACCGGAATAAGTGGTAGTGTCACTTGGAGCTAGGTCTGGTGAATAGGGAGGGTGGGGTAAAAGGTCTCATCCAAGTCTCAATAATTTATTGAGAGTAACCAATGAGGAGTGGGGCTTAGCGTTGTCTTGGTGGAACACAAAACCCTTCCGATCATTCATAACTCTTGAGGATGTTCTCCAAATTCGATGTTACTATATCCGTTGGAAAGCTGAATTATTGCTCTTCAAAGCCGTATGAATGGTGTTTTGATTTAATGCCTACTTTATGAATAAACAAACACAAACTCCTTATAGGTTTTTATGTTTTATCTCCATTTGTAGTTTATTTACTAGTATTGCCCAAAATCGGTCTTGATCTTGCACTTTGCAAGACCAAGACCAAGGCCGCCTAACTGTTGCAAGACCAAGACCAGGACTGATTAAAAAAATGGATTTTTTAAATAAAAATTAAGGCAATATAGTTACTTATAATTTACAATCTTAGTTGCTATGTGGTAATAAATGGTGTAAACAATATCCTTTTGCATTCAACTCCTCAAAATTACTGTAATATCTCTATAGTAATAAGCTCATAAGTAACTGCAAGACTGTTGCGAGACTCTTGCGCAAGACCAAGATCACGACCAAGACTGAGTTTGCAAGACCAAGACTCGTCTTAGTCTCGCATTTGGGCAACACTATTATTTACGAAGGTCCTGTTGAGGTCATTTTGTGTAGTTTATGTGGACCGAAAGTCCTGCTAAATTTCTTGTAGATAGCTAAAGTTGTGTTGAAGTTATAACATTTTTTTTTATTTTCGAAAAAAAATCATGTGGGGGGCCCAAACATTAAGCCTGTAAACATAGCCCAGCTTGCGCAAATGGTTTTCTACGATTGTGTGCGACACATTTAAGACCATAGCAATCTTTCGCATAGATTGGGTGGGATTTTGATCAACAATGGCCTTAACATTGCTCGTTTCAATTTCAAGTGGGCGACCAGACCGTTGAATATGATTGATGTCAAAATTTCTTGAATTAAATGAATGAACGGTTAAGGCATCTTCACCATAAACACTGCAAATTGTTCGATAAGCTTCTGCAGCACGCTTATTTTTTTTAAAACAACAAACGGCATACAACAAAATATGCCGATAATGAATGATATTTTCTTCCATATTCAGAGTGCAACAGCAAACACAATAGTAAGCTAGTTTCAACAAGAGTTAGCAGATATAGTTCTTGATATACAGGGATGTCCAGAAGGAAGTTTCATGGCGCAAGTAGCACCATCAAAAATTATGAGGGGGCCATATTTTGAGGGAGCAAATAATTTGCAAAGGTTTTATTTCTCTTTTGAACGGCAATGAAACAGTTTCATCCCTTTCAATTTTTAAAAAAATTAAACATAAGTGAAAAATAGTGCCTTAGTGACTGAGCTGCTCACGCCTTCTTTATATATCTTGTAAAAAAAAAAATAAGAGGGTAGTCCTAGTAAAATTTTTATATTTGTTTTTAATGTCCACTCTAATATACTTGTATATATATATGTGGTAGTTTTTTTTTTCAAATGTTTTGGTTATAACAATAATAATTTCTCTGCGCATTAGATAGAAAATAAAAGAAATGACTAAATTCACTAATGATAATCGTTCTGAGAAATTAAAACAAGCTGTGACGAGACACTTCACAACGCCATTATTCACTACTACCGAATGAAAAACAAAACAAAAAATTAAAATCACGATACAGTGTGCGGTGACCTTACTTTATAAATGGCGTGAACATTTTTGATAGGCAGTCACTTTTGTTAAAAGTCACGTCTTCTTTAAGAAGCGGCTCGAACAAAAAACATCCAGACGTTATGTCACTCTTCGAAATTTGATTTAGTCATTTATTTTTCTCACCTTTCCTATTTAGAATACGACAAAGCTCTGACAGGATAAAACAGAAATCATTGAATTAACTCGTTGAGTCTGAATTTTGAATATAGGTATTTATAATAGAAATTCCAGATCATTTTCCAACGTATTAAGATGGTTGTTTTCTCTTAGAAAATTAGCATAGCATCTCAAAGGTCCGGATTGCCTTGCCCTAAAGCCATCTACTGAAAGTAAAGGAAAGAAACTTAAGATAATAGGATTTTAATTTGAAATGTCGGTCACCAACAAAAAAAAAAAAGCTGCAAATTATTACACAATGATTTATTATTTCCCAACAATTTAATATCAAAATTAACATTACTTAAATGAAAATAAATAAAAATCTGGTGTGTTCACTCACACGACTTTCCTACCTATTTCAGAAAAGTTTTTATATCTTTACATATGTCCATCAAGAAATAAAAAAAAAAAATTGAATTAGATATATTTTCCTGAAAATTGATAAAAGATAAGATTTATTTGATAAACTAAAGCAATGTAAAATAATTACGGCTTACCGTAGATCATTGTAAAAATTTCAATACCCTGTAATATGGTTGATCAAAGACTTTTTGCCATAGCCTAATTTTTTCAAACAATAATTTCTGTTAACAGTAGAGGTAATACATGCCACTAGCGGATCCAGAATTTAATTTTGAGAGGGATTCAGCCCGGAAGCTTTTCTTTCATATATATAACGATAATTACTTTAGAAAAACAGAAAGATACCAACTACCTATATGAAGTGGTGTTTAAGTGATTCTGAAAGTCCTATTAAATGTAATTAAACGAGCAATAATACTTTAAGACATAATTTTTTAATATTTTTTACTATAAAACATGGTTACATTTGACGATTTTGGGGGGAATTTCAGGCTGAATGTCCCCCCCCCCGTAAAACCGCCTGTGATACATGCTGTATCATCGCTAATACTAGTTCGATTCCGATGAATTTTTCTTTGTTTTTTTGGTAATTTAATTACCTTTCAAAAGTTATATTATAAATTTTACCATAGAATATGTACTTAGCGAGTTATGTCCCAAAACATTATTCTTTTCTTTATAACTTTTTTTCCTGATTTTTCATAGGAATGTACGAAAATTGAAAGGGCAATTATTAGAAGATTATAGGAAAGTTTCATCAAAATCATTAGAGCTGTTTTCGCGTTACAGTCTATAGAAAAGCATGGTTTTAATTTATTGAGCAGCAGCCACTCAATTTCTGTCACAGGAATCAGTACTCAACACGCTACAAAATAAAAAAAGAAGCAACAAAATTGGTTCAGTAGTTCTCGAGAAAATCTTGGCACAGAAAGATAGAGAGACCAATAGCTAAAAATTTGTTTTTCGGGCTCATGGGGCTCTGAAACATATAGATCCGTATAAAACCGCATATTGGAAATTTGACCCGATCGCAATACTTTCCTAACCTAGTATACGTAGGAAAATAAAAAGGGATTCCTAATAGTGGCATGAATAATTTTCTTTTTTTTCATTGATAATTTGGAGACAAAAAAATATACAACATTGCTTCAGTTGATGTAAAACTTTCAACAAATCAAAATAAATAAGCTTTGCAGTAGAACTTATAAAAAATATTTATAACACAATATATTCGTACCAAAATGTCCGAATTCAACGATATATTTTTTCTTTTTTTTTTTACTAGGAAATTTCGAAAACTTTTAAAAGTGTATACTTCTTGAGTTATTCGGAAATTTAATTTTACCACACCTAGTAAATTTTTTCCAGCTTCTTTTCGTTAAAGTACGTTATATATATAAATTTAAAGGGCACCAAGAAGAAGACTTTAGCCGAGTTTCACGAAAGTTGTTTAGGCGATACAGTCCATATCAACACAGGTTTTTCGGCCGCCATTTTGGAAGGAAAGGACCGATAGTAATGACGAGGTAGGAGGATCATCCTCGGGAGATCTCTGACTTTATTTCCTTAGATATTTTCTTCCGTTGTTTACACACT